GAAATCATTGAACGTTTTTCCGTATCAAGTTTCTCGTTTTACCTCACGTAGAACAAATCATCGTTTAACAAAGAAGTAGCGAAAGAGAAAACACACGTCAGCACAACAATCTCTTTGCAGTCACGTACGCAAAGTGTCCGCAATCCTTTTGACGTCATCGTTTTATAGATTGTAAAAGTAACTCTTTTGTTCCAATTATGCGACAGAATAAAAATGAAAGCGTGCAATGAGTGTGAAGTGAACAGTAAAAAGAAGAAGCTCATACAATAAAATGAGAGTGAGAGAGACTACTACTCGTGATTGCCGTTGTTCTTGCTCGTTCCCTCGAGATATTCGCTCATTCTCATATTGTCGAATGAACATTTCTGGTCATAGACAGCTTCCACTTCGCCTTTCGACAAACAAAAGGGATACAGACGAAGGTCGGTGAGGTAGAACGGCTCTACTTCCTTCTTTCGCATGTCGCGAAAGAATGTCACGATGAATTTTGCTTCCATCCAATTTCTTTCGAATGGTGAAATATCTGTGAAAACATCATTCATTACATCATTCAGTGAGAAAATTAGAGCAATGTATATCAGAGTATGTGTTACAGCTTGGTGAAGAATGAAATGCGTTCTATTTCGATTCTGCTTTCAGGAGAGACATTCGGACGCATCACGTCTGAAACGCTACAACACAGTCAGTGGACTATAGCTTAGTGTTGCTTACACTAGGTATCTGCTTAATTCGATTATTTTTTCGATCAAAACTACTTAAAACATACTTTCATTGTATAAGATATCAAAGATGTCGTATTCAAGGACTAAATTTAATAAATATTCGTTAACGATTAGAATTAGCAGTATTAAATGTAGACTTACACGAGGTTTTATTAGTGGAACATAGTGATTCGGAGCCCATATGTCTTCGGTAGAGTATAAAATCCAGTCTTCTGGAGATATCCCTCGCCACCACATAATTAAAATCGTATTGGTTGCTATATTCTGACGTGGTTTGAATGTTTTATTCATGACCTTTTGTGGTGGAGCACTTGGATGGATGTTAGTGAATGTATTGAGACTGGGAAAAACTGAACGAATATTGCAGTTCAAAACTGTACATAAACCGAACAAATCCCATGGTTCGGCCCATCGTCTATCGTATAACATTGATCTTACGATATAGGCTTTTAGATTTGTATCATATAGTTTAAAAAATTGTAGATACGCATCGGCATTCATTGCTAATTCTATAATATTTTGTACTCGAAGTTCGACAGTATAATGGTTCGCCATTTCACCAAGTAATGTTATACAATGATACAAGCAATTACCGTCACCTTTTACATCTAAGGCAATTAATTGTTGTTCATTATTTGAAAAGTACTTTGTCTCGCCTTCAGTATCTTCACACAGTGCAACGTATTGTTGGGAAATAATATCTAGCTGATGTACCTGCGGGTCAAAATATTGTATTGGTTTAAAGTTAAAGGGAAATTTGACCAATGCTGGATAAATCGTTTGACAAATTCGCTGAAAAGTGTGAAAATTCTTATTGTACTGTAGTTTTATTAGGAAATGCTGGAAAAACTCATACCGACCCAGATCATTGCATTCGTCACATAAGTAATTACTGATCTGTGAATCGGTATTAGAACATAATGAGCATCGGAGCGCATGCATTTTAACAAAATCTCTGAATTAGTATTTTAAATGTATTTCACGTCTTTATAGGACGTCCGAATGTTCTAAAAATGATACGCTCCTAGAAACAATCTTAGAGTTCGTTTTCTCTTTTTCAGTATTTTATCTTGTCGAAAAAAATCTAAAGTATTGAACGTGTCCATAAGATAGCGGTCTAGATACCTTTGCTTTCTTTTCTATATCCGCTTCTTCAGTAGAAAAAACATACTTCACTTTTGATAAACAAATCATCTTTTAAGTACAAGAAGATAAATTATCTTATTTATGTTTTAAATTTATACTTTTGAAAGGACAGTTCACTTGGATCGTGATGTATGAGAGGTAAAAATTTTCTCAAGGGCCTCTCTTGTGAGAAACCTGTATAACCTTTATTCAAGTCCAAATCCTAACAGAGAGCATCAGCCATACCAGTAGCAGCTCACAGCAAAAACTTTCAAAATGATCTGTGAACCTATTCGAAAGATACGCTAACAACCATAGTCAAAGTAGAGCAGTTAAGGTTGTTCAAAATCTTAGGCAGTTTAGGTCATGCAGGACTCAGGATGGTTTCATTGCGTGGAAAAACGTTATCGTTTGGCTGTACACTGCTAAGTTTTTGAATTTTGTGTTACTGATGAACGTGACACATGTTCGTCAAAACCCTCTTCGCTTTTCTTACCTTCCGAAAGAAAACTGAAAAAGCTTCGGTTTAGTACCTTCAAAGCGACAAAACTTCTCTACAAAAGAAAGCTATTCTGAGCTCTGTAGCGCCTAAACTAACTGAGCATTAGGAAAGCTGAAAGTCAGAAAAGTTTCTCATGAGAAATGCTTGTAACTTTCTAATGTAGAGTTACACAACCTTGTGTGACGTGTTATTTTGGTGACAAAAGTTTGCTCTAGACAATCGACTACACATTTTATATCAGCCAATAGTTCAGTCTTCATTGTTACTTTATTCGAAATGTAGTTGGACTATTATATTTTTGTCTAGAAATCGAAAAAACCCATGCTTTTTCATCAATCAATTCGAATTGTCTCAGATATTAAATGGGTATTTATGTTTATTTTTAGCTAGCCACATTTTACATCGTAAAATTCGAGACAGATTACACCACTTTATCCTGGTTTTAATTGTTTTAAGCATCTTTATTTGTATATGAAACGTGTAAATATATATAAATATCTGTCGAACCAACTTATTCTGAAATACACTATAACAGAATCTGTTCTAGACTAGACAAAAGTCTGCTCCAAGCAGACCTTTTTTATCATTGTTATTTCTTGTCAGTGCTGGTGTGAACTGTTATTTTTGCTTCAATAATTAAAAATTTAGCTTCTATCAGTGTATAAACTAGCATACTAATATTTTTGAGGTGTTTAGGAAAGACTTTGTTAAATCAATCTTCAGTGAATCAAAGCTTCCATTATTTGTCGTTAAGAAAAATTAAGAGTGACCTTCGAAGATTTTTCACACCCTTCGATGATATTTTTTGACAAAAACCGGCTTGACATTCGTTTTCGGAACACTTTTCTTTTGATAACTGTGTTTGTTCAATGGGATAAAAGTTTGCATGCTGTCTGTTGTACTCAGAAGAGTTGAGAATATTTAAGAGCGTAAGAGTGCAACGAGAGTTTCTAGATGATAATCTTTCACCCAAAACTACATAAATTGCATTTCAAACGTAATCTTGAGACAGTATTATTGCAAAAATGTGACATTTTTGAGAAACGAATATGATATAAGAACACAGGTGCATAGAAAGTGCGAGCGACCGAATGATTAAGGTGGCTCGACTTCTAACTTCCGCTTCAATAGCTCGAATACAAGTTTACTAAAACATAGTTAATTCTGCAAAATAAAAATAATTTTTCTTTCTATTATAGGTCAAC